TATTCCCTTTTTTCAGTTTTACTAGTTCATTTACAAAATTCTAATACATTGTTTTTCATACCAGATTCTTTCAATTTCCTAATGGTGAGGATTTTTGTCTTCTTGATGCTGGGATGTAATTCGTATATTGAAGGTTTTATAGTCTTGAATCTTCTTCAACAAGCATTTCAAGTCATCCTCCTTTTCAGTTACGAAAGATATATTATCTGCATAATACAGCTTGTTGATGAGTCTTCCTCTGATCCTTATGCCACATGTTCTTAATAGAGTCCAAGTTCTCTAATGATTAACTCAGCAAACAAATTGAATGGGTATGGAGAAAGGGTACAATACTGATGCACACCATTCCTGATTTTAAACCATGCAGTTAATACTTGTTTTGTTCAGACCACAACTTCTTGATTTAGGACTAGGCTTCATAAGAGCATAATTAAGTGTTCTGGGGTTCCGATTCTTCTCACTGTTAGCCATAATTTATTGTGATACACACAGTCAAATAAATGCCTTTGCATAATCAATATAACACAAATAGACATTCTTCTGAAAAATCTCTGCTTTCAGTCAGGAACCATTTGACATCATCAGTGATATCATTATCTCTGTTAGAATTGTGCCCGTTGTTACAGTCGCTGTGTCAAACCATCTTATTGTGGGTCTTTCTTGCTTACGTTGACCCATTGTCTTTCCAAACAAGCGTGTAAGGTGAACTTTCACCATTATTGCCTCTAAATAGGAGCACCCTTAATGCATTTTTTCTAATACTCTTGTTTGTTCTTTTGGTGATCCATGTGATATTCTGTACTCTTCTCTAACACCATAACTTAAAGACATCAATTCTTCTCTGTCATCTTTAAATATTATCCAACTTTCAGATCCATAGCAAATACTAGAAATAAACATAGCTTGGATTGGAAAGACCCTAGTCTTTAACTTGAAATCATTGCTCTTTAGCACTTTGGAGAGGTCCTTACCAGCAGATTTTCCCACTGCAACACATCTTTTGATTTCTTGACTGTTGATACCTAGAGGGTTGATTATGAATCCAAGTAAGATTAAATTATTGACAAATTCAGGTTTTTTTCATCTATCATGTTGTCTTTTGAGTCACTGGTGAGGATTTTTTTTTTTATGTTGAGGTGTAAACCATCTTTGATCTTCAACAGGAAGCATTTTAATTCCTCCTCACTTTGATCAAGCAAGATTGTGTCATCTGAATAATTCAGGTTGTTGATAAATCTTCCCTCCAATCCTGATAACACATTCTAGTACTGGAGTTTTGTCATTTTCTTTGTACAGATTTTTGTGTCTCTAGTTAGATTTATTTCTAAGTACTCCATCTTATGCTTGTTTATTTTGATGGTATTGCTTTTCTTATTTCCTTTTCTGTGTTTTCTTTGCTACTGTGGAGAAATTGGATTTTTTCATATTGATGTTGTATACTGTTGCTCTACTGAATTGGTCCACTTTGCCCTTGCTGTATTCACACAACAGCTTCTTGGCCTAGGTATAAATTTCATATGAACACAATTAAGTGTTCTGGGATTCCCATTCCTTTCAATTTGAGCAATAATTTGTTAGGATCTATGTAGTCAATTGCCTTTGCATAGTCAATAAAACACAAATATAAATTCTTCTGGTATTCTCTGCTTTCAGCCAGAATCCATCTGATATAAGCAAGTATTTCTCTGATTCCACAGCCTCTTCTAAAACTAGATTTTATTCCTGGTATTTCCTTGTTTGTGTACTGTTCTAGCTGGTACTGAATGATCTTCAACAATATTTTGCTTCTTGTTGTTATGTGCTGATGAGTAGCCTGCAACTCATAGCAACCCTATGTACAACAGCCCTAAACCTTACTCTGTCCTGTGCCAATCTCACTGTCTCTGACACACCTACCCTGATTACCCCAGTCACTGAATCAGTCCATCTCATAGAGGGTCTTCTTCTCCTGCTCTGTCCTTCCACCCTCCCAAGCATGACATTCTTCTTCAAGGACTGAACATGTTTCTTGCAACATGTCCAGAGTATGTCAGATGAAACTTCAGAATCTCTGCCTCCAATGAGCAGCCTGATTTAACCCTCTCCAGGATGAATCTGTTCGTTTTCTTAGCAGTCCATGGTATATTCAATACTCTTCTCCAACACCACAGTTTAAAGGCATCAATTCTGCTTCTGTCCTCACTAATCGTTGTCCAATTTTCTGACGCATAGCAAGAGATTGCAAAGACCATGGCATGTATCAGGCGTACCTTAGTCTCCAGAGTGACACCATTGCTCTTCAGTACTTTGGAGCAGTCCCTAACAACAGACTTTCCCATTACAGTACATCTTTTAATTTCTTGATTGCTGATGCCAAGAGTGTTGATTGTGAAGTCAAGCAAATTAAAGCTCTAAACAATCTCAATCTCTTCACCATCCATCCTGATGCTACAACTTGGCCTAATGGTGAGAATCTTTGTCTTGCTATTGAGCCTCAATCCATATTGAAGGCTTCAGTCCTTGACCTTCTGCAGCAAGTGCTTCAGGTCTTCCTCATTTTCAGCAAGCAGGGCTGTGTCATCTGCATAATGCAGATAGTTGATGAATCTTCCACCAATCCTGATGCCACACTTCTCCTCATATAGCCTAGCCTCCCGGATAATCTGTTCTGTGTGTAGGTTGAAAAGGTACATTCCTGGCATACTAAATTAATGAATTTAAACCTAAAATCTATACTAATTCTAGAATGGTGTTTTTCAGAATTGTGGCTATGACCTACCTATTAGTAGAACATGATACCAAGATCATATGCTTTGTCTGGATTTTTGTGTGGAACAAGAACAGAAAAATAAAGATCACTGTGCCTTACATATATGCTTTTTCACATTTGTGTCTACAGGATCATTTTTATTTTTCAAACTCTATGAAATATCCTCTGAGAATATGTACTTTTGTGCTTGATAAGATTTTATTTATCTGAATTATGAAGCAAGTAGTGGGCTTTCATAAATCATGCCATCTAAACTTGAAAATCAGGAGAAATCTCATAATGTCCCCAAATAACCATTAAGTCTATGTTACTGTAAGTTGGGACAATGTTTTTTTTTCCTGTTGTGTGCATCCTGGCTGTAAATATGTACCTTTTCAGAGAAAGCCCCTATTTCTCTTCATAATGATACACTGATACTGTGCTCAGTAATGAACATTAACATGTGGGTTTTTGTCATGAGAAACAGATTAAAAATGGAAAGTGAGAACACTGAATCTAGGAAAGAACAATATATTTCATTCAAGAGAATAGTTTTCGTTATATGCCTTTAAACTACATTTGACTTGAACTTTGATTTTATGCTAAAATAGAATTGTATCTCCTTTTATGTTTTGTGGATAGTGATCTGAAAGCATGCATTTACAAATTCAAACAGTAAATATTTACAGCCATCTTTATTCACTCTGACTCACCCACTTAGGAGATGATCCCAATGGAAATCTAGACAGGACGGGAAATCTTGGTTTCTGTATTTGATCACAGGCTGTCTCCTGAAAGAACAAGTGTGAATGCCTTTTTTTTTTTTAACAGAACCTGTCTTCTTGTACAAGATGCTTATGGGCTATTTGGTGAAGTGCACCTGGAGGACACCACCTTGAAGGAAAAACATTTGGAAGGGAAGTCCTGCAGTCTGGTGGGAGTGAAGGTTCTTCAGAAGGCCACCAGAGAAAGGTGAGGGTGCACAGTGTACAGTTCTATGTGCTGCCGTAGCTGGATCATTGATAGTCTTTCATCTCTCATTTTATTTTCAAAGATAATGCCAGAAAATCCATACAGTTGAGTGGACTCCAGAAAATACCTCTGTGAGAATATTTATTATTAACAACAAAAAATATTTTGAAAGTTTATTGTTTCTCTGTGTACTGTCAAGTCAAGAATGACTCATAGCTGACTCTCTAGTGGATGTTCAAAGACAGTTAATTACATGGGAGTGATTACCCATCTTTCTCCTGTGGGGTTGCTGGCACATTTGAACTGTATGCCTTGCCTTTGGGTTGAGAGTGCATTTTCTTAACACTAGGCCACCAGAGCTCCCTTAAGCAAGTTTGTTTTTATTTGCTGTTGAGTCAGAACTTACCCATGGCTGATCCTCTGGTGGGTTTTAAGAGGTAGTAAATTGCAGAGGAGGAGCAGCTGGTGGATTCCAACTGCATGCCTTTGGGATTGCAGTACAGCTTCTTGCCACTAGGACACAAGATTATATATTCATTTTTATTTGCAAGAATTTTCTGTATTTTTATTACCTATAATATTACAGCAGGTTTGATTGAAAATAAGATTAGTGAAAAGATTCTTTAAGTGTTTTAAATACAGTTCTTATTTGGTGGAGGAAAGATGGTGGGTCACAAAAAGAAAGGTAGACTCTCCACAAGATGAGTAATTGACTCAGTGGCTGCCACAGTGAATGGGTTTGAGCATGACCGAGATCATGAGGATGGGGCAGGATCTTTTGTTCTTAGCATTACTGTAAGTCATAGTTGACTTGAGAGCACCCAACAACAACATTTGACTAAGTCTGGCATTCTTGCCAGGGGCTTTTCTGTCTGGGTACCACGTCCAGAGTAGAGTACATGACAAAAAGTTTTGCCATCTGAGTTTCTAAGGAGCATTCTGACTGTGACATCTTTCAAGAAATATTTGTTTATTCTTCTGAGAAGCCAATATTATATAATATATAACAGTATTAGATAATAGATTCTATTTTATCTATTATAGGTTATATTATGTATTTATAGATATAGTCAGTTTTCTTTGCCAACCCTATTAGTAAATTCTTCTTGAGTCTGTTTTATTCATTGGCCAGTGTAGCATATATGTAAGGTGATAGAAAATACCAGATAGCATTGGTTCTTGGTCAGCATTGCCCAGTGCAGTACATTTCTTATTGTTGCTTCCATAGGCATTGATTATAGATTCAGGTAAAATGAAATTCTTGACTATGTCAGTCTTTTTTTTTTTCTTTTCTGTTTAACATGGTATTGTCTGTCCAGTTGCAAGAATTTTTGTTTTATTAATATGGAAATTATCAAGCAGTTTCACTAATACCACACACAAGCAAAATCCTACAGAAAATTATCCAAAATCGACTGGAACCATCTATCAATGGAGAACTACCAGAAACAAGCTCGGTTTAGAAGAAATTGTGGAACTAGAGACATTACTGCCAATGTCAGATGGATCTTGGCAGAAAGCAATGAGTACCAGAAGAATGTCTATCTGTGTTTCATTGACTATGCAAAGGCATTGGCCTGTGTGGATCACAACAAATTGTCGCTAACCTTGAGAAGAATGGGAATCACAGAACACTTGATTGTGCTCCTGCAAAACCTGTACTCAGACTGGAAGCAGTCCTCAAAACAGAGCAAGGAAATACTGAATAATTAAAAATCAGGAAGGGAGTGTGTGAGGGATGTGTCCTGTCTTCATACCTTTTCAGTCTGTATGCACAACAGATCATTCAGGAATCTGGACTCTGTGAAGAGGAATGTGTTGTCAGGATTAGAGGAAGACACCTCAACAACCTTTCTTTATGCAGATGACACAGCCTTGCTTGCTGAAACTGAGGAGGACCTGAAGTGCTTGCTGCAGAAAGTCAAGGACTATAGTCTTCAATATGGATTGAAGCTCAATATCAAAAAGACAAAGATTCTCACTATTGGAGCAATTGACAACATCATGGTGGATGGAGAAGAGATTGAAGTTGTCAATAATTACAGCTTGCTTGGCTCCACAATCAACAAACACTCTTTGCACCATCAGTCAGGAAATCAAAAGACTAATTCCACTGAGAAAATCTGCTGTCAGGGACCTCTCCAAAGAATTGAGAAGCAACAATGTCAAGTCTAGAGATGAAGGTGTGCTTGATACAGGCCATGGTCTTTGCAATTATTTGCTGTGCATCAGAGAGATGGACAGTGACTAAGGATGACAGAAAAATAATCGATGCCTTTGAGTGGTAGTGCTGGAAAAGAGTCTTGAACATACTATGGACCACCAAGAAAACAAGTAGGTTTGTCTTGAAGAGAGTGAAACCAAATTTCTCCTTGGAAGCTAGGATGTTGAAGCTTGACTCACAGATTTTGGGCACGTGCCCCGGAGGGACCAGTCCTTGGAGATCATGCTCAGAAGGGTGAAAGGACAGCACAGGAGAGGAAGACCCCGCAAGAGATGGACTGATACAGTAACTAGACAAATGGGAGTAGATGTGGTTCTTGCTTGAGTTTTCTGCAGATAGTTCTACAATTCTGCCAACACCATTTGTTTAAAAGGTTGTCATTTCCCCACTTAACTGATTTCTTCTCCTTGTCAAAAATCAGTTGACCATAGGTAGATGGGCTGATTTCCGGATTCTCAATTCTATTCCATTGATCTATGTGTCTGTCATTGTACCAGTACCATGCTGTCTTGACCACCCTGGCAATGTAGTACAATTTGAAATCAGGGAGTGAGATACCTCCTACCTTGTTTCTCTTTTTAAGGAGTGCTTTGCTTATTCGGGGCCCTTTGTCATTAATATTTTGCCCATAGAATAGTACCATTCAAGAATTGAATTTTTTTTAACGTAGAAATGGCAAGTGTGCTCTTCCTTTAAGTTTTTTCACTCTAGGTTTTTGTTATTTCATGATAATACTTTGTGTTCTCCGGTGATATCCTTTGCTGAAGTTCTTTCTCCCAATTCCACTAGGGTTTTTTGTTTGTTTTTTTTTTTTTTTATGGAATAGTGTTCCTTTACTCTAATTCCTAACACTTAGCCCTGCCAAGGGCACGTGTGGACTTTCCCATGGTCATAAACAAGCAGCATTTTTCACTATCAAATTTGCAGTTGTTTTTCAGGAAAAACTCAGTCCCATTTCTATGAGGTCTGCTTTTTTGGGAGTCTGTCTTCTTGTGGAAATAGTACTGATAAAGCACAGAGCAAGACTGGGGCGTAGGATCATATTCTTTCATCATTATGCTACACAGTCATAAATGAGCCTAATATTTAACATAGTTCTTGTGTTCCTCTGGAAGCCCGACTGCCTACATTTACAAAGGAAATGGGCAAGTGGATAGTTCCACATAATATATTTACAAATAAACTCTTCTAATTTGTTGACTAAATTGTTGATGCTTTTTTCAAATTTGAATATCTTTAGTTGATATATTTACATTTATGATAGCATGTAACAATCCAAATAAGTATTTAGATTATTGTTTTGTTCTTTTTAAAGTTAGAGTTCCTTCAAAACAAACTGTTAAATCATTTTGGAATGCTCAGTGTTATAATTGCCTATTAGTGATATGATCTGTTGTCACTCCCATGCATGGCCCACTAAATACAAAATTTCCTTAGTTTTCATATTAATGTTTCATAGCAACTCTCTATAACAAAAATCCCTGATAAGAATTATTTTACTTCCTAAAATTCAAACTAAAATGAATGATTACATAATTCCAATACCTAATATAGAAAATAACTACTTTGCCAGTTGGAAGGTATTTCTATGTTGTGGGATAGAGAAGTCATGTACTCTTTCAAATCTGGGCCACCAAATTTCATCTGGTGTACATTTGCAGAGACAGAAAACTATTTTTATCTAGCAGATGCTTAGTGATGACTTTGAAGTACACTGATGATTTCAAACTTACCCAGTCAGAGAAGCCTGCTGTTAAACCATTATGCAGAAACTACTATGCTGTTGTCCTACATCATTCTGTGATCTTTCTAGAAAAGCATGCACATTTTGTTGTTAGGTGTCATCAG